TCGAAAGCGAAATGACTGAAATGGCCTGGCCGAAATTACTAGACCTGACTTGGGGCCTTAGTATCTCTCAAGGAATCGAATATGCCGCCTCTAAAAGCGTATGGGAGACTGAAAAACGCGTCGATGCTCCAGTGTACCCGCATTCGCGACGGGGCGATTTTGGGGGGGTTCACCGTTTCGATCTCATTAAGCCTATGCTTACATCCTGTTGTAGGATAGGCCTAAGTTGCAATGCCTTATCTATAATCACTAGGGATCGGATTTTGATGCTGGGACGCCTTCGCCAATTCTCGAGGCAAGAAACTAAACTGGAAAAGCATGTCAGGATATAGAAATCAGGTCCCAAGATACTAGTATTTTTTTATGTTCTGATGCTTCTGATGATCGTACAACAGAAATTTATGAATACGCGCGAGCATGAAAATCCGATCCCTAATCATCACAGTCTACTCTAACGGCTGCAGCGACAATTTTCTTCATACAATCTTCACATCCGACCGTCTTGCTGACGACTGATATATCGAAAAACTTCGAATCCCATCCCTCTTTTCTCGAAAAAAAAAAGTTTAATTCGCTTCAGCAGCTGGAAAGCCCAACGGTTTAAGCGCAATACGAACGAAAATAGAGATTGCCGATATCTTACAATGCGGAATGCAGTCTAGAGAAACGGAATGTCGTCGGACGAAACGAAGTGCACGATGCGAACAAAGCTTTTGTTCATCGCCCAACTTGCTGGAAGAGCGGTTGTTGTTACACGACTGCACGGAATTCTCCGATAACTCTTATCTCCGCGTTATCGCCAGCCGCTTGCCAGCGATGTTTTTCCGCACTTAATTCAGGCAGAAAATGGTGGACTCGAAGCACGAGGCCGATTCGGGAGGGAAACTTCGAACTTTTTTTTTTCGTCGTTTTCAATCGGACACAAGTCCGAAACTGTTTTGGCAGTTTCAGGCAATAGGTCTCGAGTTTGATTTTGAAGGAAGATAACTTTTTTTTTTTTGCGGGAACGGGAACAAAAAAATTCGCTCCACGTTATCATTTCAGTAGCCTGCTTCTGCGTCAACTCCAAAGCCGTTACGCTCTTCTTCATTTATCTCCTTAACTAAACGCAATATTTTAAATTGGCAAGTTTGTTCCGGGCAAACAAACACGCGAAGATCGCGCCTACAACGCATGACGTATGAAAATACATTAATTCATCTGAAACATACATATTCGGCACTGGCACTTGGTAAATCTCCCTGAATTTTAGGCATTCATCATTGTGACGTGAAGTCACTTCGGGTTATGTGACGCTTAACCTTTTCATTGAACCCTTCCCCCCCCCCTTCCCCTCTAAAAAAAGAGCCAATAGGAGCCATTCCCCGATGAACACTTTCGATCCGATGGACGTAAATGTACGTCCAACCCTAACTAGCATCGGACGACGGTGGACGCAATGCAATTTTCCTTTGAATATTTTCAAATTTTTACGTAACTTCCCACAATAAAGTAGAGACCTTATACTTCAATTTCCAAAAATGAGCAAGTCTCCAACATTTTGCGTTCCGAAGTTATAAACTTTTTTTGCAGACTTCTTTCACACCCTCCGGAGCGGAAGTGTTAAAGTATTTTCACTGATACCTGCAATCCCAGACCCACACATTTCCCAAATTTCACCTTTATACATTTTCCCGATTCGCTGCAGCGAAAAATTTCAATGCGAAACTAACCCCCCCCGGAGACCTCAGAACCAGGATGTTGCCGGAACTCGGCACCCCAACGAGCTACCCAGCCATTTCAGCTCTCCATCGTATCTAGAACGCGATTAGATTCAACGTCGGTCATGCAAGATGGTCTGTACCGGGTGGCCAAAAAAAAAGGATCCTATTTGACGCGTTATAAAGCCCGTTGTGGATGGTCTAAGTTAGTGATGTTTTCATGTCGCATTGGAAACACCACAAAAGCTTCTTTTTACACAATGTGTCATGCCGTATCCTACACGTCGTAGAATAGTACTGCAGACGCACGTCGTAGCATCAGAATCCATGCTACGCAGAGTACTACGACGAGAACTGGCATGAAAAGAAGCATTTATGGCGTCAAGGGAGAGAAATCATTCGAGCAGTCCTGAAACTCCATCGCGGAAAAGGTACATTTTACGACTCCACTTTGAGCGACTGCCGATTTTTATTGTGACAACCTAAGTATATGAAACATTCCGAAAACAAATTTTATGGCGTTTCCAATATGATATGGAAACATCACGAACCTAGATGATCCACAAAGGGTTTTATAAAGCGTCAAACAGGACGCGTTTTGGGGCCACCCGGTATAGACGAGATGTAGTCTTGCTTAAGCCTAAGTACCTTACTTAAGGTCTTACATAAAAACAACTGGAGAATAACGCTCGTACTGGCGATCGAACGTCGGATGGAGGCTAAAATGCAATTTTCTCATGTCGTCGGCAAATTTACTAATATTCGTGAGGCCTTCATCTAAATCGTATTCAGCACGAACTGAATCGGTCGTCTGACGTTTTTCAACGACACTTTTCTGATTTACTAATGCTCTCTGCTCTCTACCGACCGGTTACCGATCCGGTTACTCGTTTTACTTGGATTCTACGCGCCTCCAATTTAGGTCGTAATCTCATGAACGGTATTGAACATCTTAGCAAAGTTTAAAATATGTTGACGCGGTTTCCTTCATCCGTTGAATCTGTTTCCCGATCGGGAAGTTCTGGCAGATTGGCTAAACGATAATCTCCTAAAACCGTGCTGAGATTCTGGAACGAGCGAGTTCCCCCTTAGAAATTGCGATCCCTTAAAATGTTGAGTACCGCGTTTCTATAATTTCGTGCCTGCGACGCCTCAATGGCTGAATCTATTGTATGGGGACGGGGAAGATTGCCTTCATCGGGCAAAACCAGGAGCTTTTCTCCACCGATCGAGTGGATCGTGGAATCACAGGTCGCTCCCGTCAAGAAATCCAGAATATGTTTCCGATTGCTGCACGTCTTCGGGATGCGAGCCTGTTTACAGATACGACACGATGTATACGATTCGAAGCGCATGAGCCTCGATGCCCATGCATTCGCCTTCGCTCTGGGATTCCAGCTAAGAGATACATTGGAGCATCGCAACTACATTCTTGAGGATCATCCTCATCGAGTGCAGTTTCACGATGAGAAAGGCTTCCTTCGTGCCTGGAATACCATCGTCAACGTCGTTGTGATAGCCGAGGAGTTCACCGTCGCGTCGGTGTGCCCTGGCAACGAACTACACGGTGTTTAAAAAAAATTGCCAATTCGTTTTTTTTTTTTTAAATTAGGAATGATCATTATTTCATCCGATCGGCCCAATATTTCACAAACTGCATGTGGATTGATGAGAGAAGGTTTTAGCCGAATTTGAACGATATTGACAATGTTTCATGTGCTATCCCGTTTAAAAGTTGAAGGTTATGAAAATGCGCCGGACATCCTTGCTGATGCTTCCCTGGCTGAGGCGAACGCATCACCGGGCTTATACTGCTCACTTTTTTACCTATAAAGTTTGAACTGGTATAGAACGTGATATAATGCGTCAATTTTCTTAAAATTTGGCGCATACCTTCTTTCCTCTGTTTGCATGCAGTGTTTAAAAAATTAAGTCGATCAGATAAAATTTACTGTCATTAATACGAAAATGATTTGGCACAAGTTTTTTTTATTTAAACACCGTGTAAATTCAAGTTCAGTTCCCAACCGATCGTTCAAAAGCCGCAAATAGTTACTCGGTTGTAGAAGTGTAGTCTCATTGTTAACATTCGCCTCTTCTTGCTCGGTTCTTGTGTGGGTTGCCGGAATCTACGAGAACGTTAAATTCCAACTTTCCAACTATTGATAATCTTAATCATTAGTAAGTCATCTAGTCCACATTTTGGCCCTTACATCTGCCCTACAGCACTCTGCCTCAATAGATCAGAGGCATCCAAAATCAACCCCAGCCTTTTCAAGCTCACAAAAATTATAAGAGAAGCGATGGCACAATCTGCCCGCTAAGCTCAGGCGACAATAATTAAAGGCTGTTCATTCAGACCAGATGGGGAACAACTTCATTCCTTTTTGGATGTACAGTGGAACCTCGCTTAACGAGCATAATTTGTTCCCAAATCTTACTCGTAATGCGAAACACTCGTTAAGCGAATCATTCGTTATGGGAGGTGCTCGTTAAGCGAGGTTTGACTGTATATGAATATACAGTCAAACAGAGTGATTCGCTTAACGAGTGTTTCGCATTACGAGTAAGATTTGGGAACAAATTATGCTCGTTAAGCGAGGTTCCACTGTAAGGGCTTTACTGAATCTTCCTTGGCCTTCTCATTGAACTATGTGCTTTGCAAAACATGTTTTGCCTAGTCCCTTTTAAAAATGTCATGACACTGAAATAAAATTGTCAAAATTTATGCTGCTGTTTGACAGAAGCTTGAAAGATTGCAGTAAAGAGGTTTACTTTCTTGCCTCATTTAACAAGATGAGAAGTATGACAAATTCAACAACAGAATTTCTCATTCATTGAAAATCAAGAATGGAACAGGGGAATTGCTGAGATCATTCTCCCTCTAAAACCAAGCAGTAGTCAGATTATGAACTCTGGTAGCTGCAGTCTACTCAGTCACTTTGCAGGTACAGCATTCAGGAGTGGAATAACAGCTTGGATTTGGGCATATTGGTCAAGATTCAACAAGCCAGGAGCATCAGCTGACTGAAGCGATCCTTCACCAACTGGCTGGAACTTTGCTACAAGCATGCAAAGCTCAAGAATGTAAGCAGTCAAGAGCTGGGCTGCAAAATCTTTTGGAAACTGATGCACCATATGAGGGAATATCCTCAGACCCTCAGACATACCCTCAGACTATCAAGTGCTTCTTCACAAGTAATTAAAGCATTACTGCTGGTAGGGTCTCAGCTCCCTATGACGACACTCTCAGCACTAAATACCAACCAGACACCAACAATAGCAATGAACAGATCATGATTCGTAAAAAATATTTTATTTTTAATTGAAACGCAGGGAGCATTCATAATTTGAATTTGAACTTAAAAAAAAAGTAGCATCTGATCTGATATCAATAAATCACAACCACCCATAAAATAATCTACCCTCAATCTTGACTAAATAGGGAATAAATGATACTGAAAAAGGGGCACATAGGATTGAAGGAAGGAGGACCCCAAGACACAACAGGTTCTATCAGTTACTGTAAAGTTCAGTAAAGTAAAGTACTGTAAAGTAAAGAACGGAGGCTGGGCAATGCGAGGTTATCAGCATGGAAGTAATCATGTTTCTTCCATAGTGTCACGGTTCAATCTGCATCTGCAACTAAGTCAAGAGTAAGGCTTTCCTCTTGTGGCCCAGCCTCTCCTTTCTGTGACCCCTCAATTAGTGCAGCAGTACCTTCCTACTATTCAACTGAACAATCAAGGTAATTAGTTAAACCTAGGCATACACGAATTATGCCAAGCAGTTGTTTCTGCCTACTGACAAAAATACTGAATGGCAGTATACCAACACAGATCCTTGATAAAACTTACATTTTGAAATAATGAAACTTGTATGGACTCATATGAACTTGTAAGAAGAGTTTAAGCAAAACTCACAGCCTCATGCCATGACCCAAAGAAAAACTAGACTTCTTTGGAAATTCAATATTCTCATATCTCAAAAATACTCATAGCATTCTGTATCTGATCATATGCAGCTGGAATAGAATAATTAAGGTTTGTCATCCACAAAGCCTAACATCTAAATATCATGAAGCAGTTTTGTGTGATGCCTCTAGCAAATATTCACATCATGAAGGCTCTATATATGACAGACAACCTTCTGCTCTTGCACCAAATCAATAAATTATCAAATCATGCAGACCTTGAATAGGAATCACAGGAGAGAGGTTTGACTACAAACTCCTTTGGATCATCTGACTTTTCAGTTACGGGGGATCTTAACAGTCTCTGCCTGGGGCATTATCACAATGGCATGGATTTTCAAGAGAATGAACACAGGAATGACAGGAACAAAAAAAATGATAAAAGACAAGACAAATAAGGGAAGTGAAGAGAGGTCACATTTTGCACATGCAGTCAGGCTGCTTTCTTTGGTTATTCTGCTGCCTCAACCTCTTTAGGGTTGCATCACCATACTGAATCCCAGACCCAATTCGTTCTGGATCCAGCTCCCCTATGGAAAAGAAAACTATACATATAGAACATCTGTTCCAAATTTCAGTGGCAAGAAAACAAGAAAATTTGTCTGACCAGCAGCAATTTTGGCTAGGATACTCTTGGAACACTTGAGGAAGGCTTCTTCAACATTGTCACCTGTTAGAGCACTTGTTTCCAGGAACATCAAATCTGCATTTTAAAAAATCAGAGGGTTCAATCATTTCTGCACATGAGAACAAGAATGGCATGAAGGTCTTCTAATGGGCAAACCATTTTCCTGAGCAAAGCAGCTGGCCTCCAAGAAAGTGACTTCCCTATCAGCTTCTAGGTCTTTCTTGTTCCCAACAAGCAAAATCACAATGTCAGGACTGGCCAATTGGCGAGCATCAGTCAGCCAATTGCTGAGCTCTGTATAGGTTTCTCTGCTTGATAAGTCATAGACTAGGAGGGCTCCAGCTGCTCCACGGTAGTAGCTTCTTGTCACAGCCCTAGTTACATTTGAGGACATATTCTTTTTGACATGTTATTGGTATACTTCATACCATATGAGACAATATTATCTCACCTGAACCTTTCTTGCCCAGCAGTATCCCAAATCTGCAGTTTCACTGCTTTTCCACCTACATTCACTATTTTGGATCCAAATTCAACTCCAATTGTGTGGCTGCTGTCTTGCTTGACTTGAAAAAAAAAAAGGAAGTAATTTTGAATAGAAGGCACACAACTCCAGGAATGAAAAATAGCCTTCCCATTGTCATTTTAAAATCAGCAATCACAGCTGATGATTTTCACTCTTGCATTATATCTAGCTTTCTTCAGTGCTTTATCATGATAAAACATAGATCTACTCTACTATAACACTAAATGTACAAGAAACATGAAAAATCAATATTAAACTTTCAAAAATTAGGGGTAAGCTTGATATACTATGGCCAGTCAAATAAAAACAGAAATTAATTTCTATTGGCTACACATACGATGTTTATTCAAAACACTCTCTGCAGGAATTGATACATTTGTCCCACTATTCTACCTCATTTTTTATGAGAATGTTGTAAAATGGCATTGGCATCTGGTGACACCTTGTTCTCACTGCCTTTGGCATGTCACCATCTGAGGAATATAGCTTGCCTCTAAACTCCGTAACCTACCACCTAAACAACTAGGAAGGGTGGTGTTGTCTATAGCACTTGCAGCAGATGTAATTTAAAATGTTCCCTAAATCTCTGGATGTTGGAAGTCTGCTGACACTATGACATGAATTGAATTCATGGACCAATTCATATTATTTTCTTCAAGCTCATAGGATTTTTTACCTCTCTCTCTGCCATTTTTTAATCACAAGTAAAGAAAAACTTATGAATCAGGAGTACATGTCATATTTTCTTGGAATAGATAAAATAAAAAAATTGTAGTACTACTTATCTTTCAAATTTCAAGAGCAAATCTTAAATATTATAAATGTGGCAATAAAATGAAAAGGGTGAACCTTTTTTGGTTCACCCTGTATATTTGATCAACATTATTACAATGTGTCCAATCCCTCACAAATATAAACTTGGGCATGCCCCTTTCCTTATACTTTGGCATAGGTCTAAGACTCACATTTGTTTTCAATGAATTGATGGAGAAGACAGGATTTCCCACAGCCTGCACTTCCAATGATCAGGAATTTGAAGAGATAGTCTATAGTGACAGGAAAGAAATTACAAATCAGTGCATTCACACATATCAATGAGGCAAAGTCCAGGGTGCACCCTGGTTTGTAGGTTGGGTAGGCCAAATGGTAGTCAAGAGCCGTTTTTTTTTCCATTAAGATTACCTCAAATTTTTGTTCTATATGGACAAAAATACCTCTTGACATCTTCATGCAGACCACAATATATTACTCAGGTCATAACTAGAAAGGGCCTATCATGTTCTTTTCCAGACTTCATGGTATAAACACACTACCTTTTCCTTTTTAACTATATTTCCACAGATGTTTATTATAAATAAAACCTTAGCAAGAGAAAAATGTAAATATTAGAAAATGATATGTTCTTTCAAATGGGGTGATGAAAGATGTGAGCAATTTCAATATTAATTAATTAATATTGAAAAGTTAATAAATTTGCATGAAAACAGATGAAAGATGACGAGATGATAATACCATTGGTCCCTCCTTTACCTCATTTCTGTATATTGCTGAATGTAGACCATACTGATACCAATATACAACAACCTAAAGAACCAATTGACATAAGATAAATAAGAACAGGCATCAAGTTTTTTTTTACTCTGTCCCAGCCTGGAAGGAAGCACACCAGCTTTTATCCCATTTTTCTGAGTAAATGTCCAAGTGTCCTGGTTTTCAAGCCCAGCAGATTAAAATTGGAGATGCTCACAATCAGATACAACACCCAATTACTTCTATTTTCATCTGACATTTGGTTGCCTCAGCTTTTCAACTTGTAAGGTGATCTTAGTAGTCAATTTACAGAAGATGCCAGGTGTTGAAAAGATCTGGTCACCTAAGGGAGGGCTAGACCAGTGGTTCTCAAACTTTTTGGGTCCATGACCCTGTTTCATGGAAGCCAATAGCTTGCGATCCCCAATTTTCAGGCTGAAGAGAAATCCAGAACATGGTATAGAAAAACTTGATGGGATGAACATCCTGAGCTGCTCATTAAAGTGAAATGAAAACACAATGTAACTCTTGTTTAATTTTATGTTTAAATGTAAAAAGCATTAAAAACATTATTAATAAGTGCTACTCATTATTCAGTGCAATGAGTGTGCCTGCTTTACTGAGAAAATGCAATTCAAACAAGGCACAATACTGTTGATTCTCATCTGCAAGTCACCTTTGACAGTGATTTGGTTGCTAATTAGCTTTTCATGACCACCAAAGACAAAAATCCAGATTCACAAAGGTATGTTGATGTAAGAGGTACCCCAAAACTTCTCCACTAGGCCACAAAATCAGTATAATTAATGACCAGTCAAAATCAAATATCTGAACTGGAAAAGGCTATAGTCTTGGGCTTTCTCGCTAAGAGGTTAATGCTACCAGGTCCACAATCACACAACTCACACCCACACACTCCACTTCTGACAACAGCTTTGCCCTTACTCACCCCCACCCCCAGGGATGATTAAGGGCAAAGTTGTCACCAGAGATACTATTATTAGAGCAGCAGTGGCTCTACTTTCACCTGACTTTCAGCTATGCCCCTAATGACCTACTTACTGGGTTATTCCTCAAATGGAGTTTCTTTTTGCTGTAATAGGAAAAAATTCCCCATAAATTCCAAAAAAACAATAAATTAGGCCAGCAGTAACCCAAAATGTCTCTGTATTCATATGCTTGATGTTAGGTCTCCCATAGTCTACATTTTCAGATTGATGCCATGCTTTCTTCAAAGGTTCAATGGAATATGGCCAGCAATTTGGCTAAACGTTAGTATGGGATTTGAAGTAAATCCCACCAAATTAATACTGAAAATAGATACATGCTTACCATATGATTCTGACATTCCTTGGATGGAGTACTGTCATGCGTCTAGAATGTGTGCAGGCTAAGGCCTATGTGAAACTATTAGCTTGTCTTGCTGGGGAAAGAAAATATCAGATAAGGCCCATGGAACTGGAAATAACTTTGACTGCAAAAGAAAAAACCAGGGTAGATCATGGTCAACAAACTGGGGAAAACAAATGGATGGCTTATCACATGGAACGTTATCTCTTCAGGCATGTAGCCATTAACATGCACATTGGTAGGCCAAGGCAGGTTGGCTGTTCTTATAGAATTATATAAATACATTTCCTCTTTGCATAGCTGAACATGTTATTTTTTGCATCAGTTTGCTATTATTTTCCTTTGAGTCCACAGCCTAAGAGTGAGAGGAGTAAGCCTAAATGATTTTGGGGAATCACTGAATCATTGAGACAATAAACTATATCTGCTTGAGTGTAGTCCCAGAATGGGTGAATATTATGCCAGTCTGCTTTAGCATCCAAGAATGCTTCAATATGCATTTCTTGGGCCTACTGAAAGAAGCCACTTGGCCTACTAATACAGGATCACATTCTCCTACATTAATATTCTGCACACAGTATTCATAATAGCTGCCTCTCTTAAAGTCAGACTTGAAAACATGAACTGGATGCATTGCTCATAATAGGATCTTCTTACCCTCAAAATGAGAGTTTGGATTCTTCAGCACATACATCAAGATGTAAAAATATACAATTAACTGGACTTAAACACCAGTACATTGAATACATTAAAAGCAAAAAATGGAAAGCCTGATGTATATGAACACCTGCCAATCACTCAGAAGATTATGGTTTGATACCAGTCCAACTTAACCAGAAATGAGTTAACACTCATTCCAGGCTGCCACTCTGTACCGTGGAATTGGAGTATGGAAAGCAATAAGACTACCCATTAGGAGGATCCTTTGGGGGGAAAAAAAGGCAAAACCAGCATTGGATAAAGGGGTCTGAAAATGCCACTGGGTGGCTGGCCTGGAAAAAATGTAAATTTTCTTTTTGCTATCCTAACCACTTTTTCTAACCCAAATACCAAGACAGTTGCCTCCCTTTACCAATTGGTAAAAAAAAAAATCAGGTATAAAATAGGCCTAATTTTTTTAAGTCAGTCTGATTTGCATATAGTCATGACTGTTTCATGGCCAAAGGACTTCTTGAAAACCTAATGACCTCATGACTTCCTAAAATATTGAAATATTGACAATCTACAACTACACCATCTTTGTGTGTGATTGAAGTAAATTTTTAAATATATACTGCAACACAGGCCTAGGAACTAACACCTAAACCTGAACAGTCTGTCTCATGTTTGTCATCTCTGCCTGTCCTACTTTATCTTCCTTGAAAACGTCACTTTACCTACAGCAAGTGATCCAATATCATCCCAAAAAAGTAAAAGCACTAGGTGTGTACAATGATATGGAAATCACAACAGGCATGTGTTCATTTGTTTCCTTCTCCAAAAGGGGTGGGGTGTTTTTGTGAGTCTACACTATTTCCTGTACTATTGCAAAAATTGACATGCGATGCACGTGCCTCCCATCAATTATGACTAGAAGGCAACCTGTTTTAAACAAATTAATCATTACGCTCACTTTTGCAGGCGATCTCTCAGATACCAAACCATTCTTGAGTGAAATGCACCGGGTGACTGCCAACACCCTGCCGAATTTTAGGCCAAGGCTTGCGCACAAGCTTAACTTTATTGTAAGGTCTGCCTGAGGCCCTACCCACTGTTGGCCTAGGCCTAATAAGAGACCTATTTCTTTCCGGACCATATCCTGACAATGTCTTCGTCCTGACGTCGAGCCCAAGTCAAATGACTATGTCTAGTTTTTGATAGCCTATTCTATAACTAGCTCCCAATGCCGAAGCTGCGGGTTACCATCTTGCCATATGCAGTGGTTGCGGGCGCTCTGACGCGGGATTACAACGACTTGCGCAGAAATTATACTTCGAATCAATAACGAAATTATTTACATCACGAGAGGCAACGTTCCTAAGAGCAGAACAGCAAAGACATGCTGGTAATTGATATTCTGACCGACCGGACATCCCCTCTTGCGCTTCCGTTCGTGACGACGCTCGAACAAAACTAAAAACGCAGTCCTCAGACCCTTAGGGAAGCCGAACGTCGCACGACGGGCATGCGTTCATATGCGGAAATGGCACAGCCCTCTCAGCAGAGGACTTCGTCATTCGACACAGGTACGCACTTGGACCTTTATCACTTCATTGTATTTTTTTCTCAGCCATCGAGAGATTGGCCTCGTTTATCTCGTGTGGGATAAACGACTACTGCGTCTGCGCTTGAGAAGTCCACAACTTATTCACAGGCAATTTTATTCTCCTCTTAAGGTTATGGGCTCAGCGACATTGGGCATCTCGGGTTACTTTACGTGCAAATGTATTCAATCTAAGAAACAAAGCGACCTTTCCTACTTCTTGGAACAAGTGATAACTAGGGGGTACGAATAAGTTATTTTGCATTTAAAAATTCTTCCAATCTTTATAGTTTTCATGCTACTCGCACGGTGAGGGCATATTCGCCAGAAATTCGCGATAAACCTAGTAAAATAAAAGTTCTACAACTGGCACTTGGTACTTTTGGCACCTTATTATATCCCTTCAGACCTTCAAAAAGAGCAAAATTTTTCAGTTCACCGCTGGATTACCTCCCAGAAAGGGAAACGAGGCCAGACCCAACTCCCGACGTCACGCCCACACCGGCGGGGGGATTCCCCGCGAATCCTCCAGCACTTTCGAAGATGCCCACTCGACCCGGAGTCACCGAGACAGCGCGTCATTTTTCCTCGAAGCCTCTTCCTAGACCTGACATCGATATTTTTTGTTGCTGTTACTCTATCGACCCTTCCTCCAACTCATCGAAAGAATGTCCCATGCCAAGGTAAAGTAATTTTAAAATTCGCAACCTCCTCCTTTGCGCAATGTAGATGGGAACTCGCATGATACCAAATTACAGGCATCAGCTGGAACCAAGGAAGTCTACATTTATCATATTGCCTGAACTCATGTTACAAAATCCAGGTTAATTGACTCAGGTTGCTAGATTTAGGACAGGAACCCTTGGAATCCCTTGGGTGCGCTTCGAGTCTTGACATGCAATTACTCGCACTGTCTCCCGGAGACTAGACCCAAACTAAACCAATGGAGCATCGACCTTGCAGTCCTGGCAGACCTGCAGCGATTCGGCAGCGGAAACGGGAACATTCTCAGATGATTTTTTCGGAACTTGAGAGAAGCGTCCAGTTTCTGCTCTTCTATTCATTCAGAAGTCACTCGTTTTCGTATCTTGATCTGTGTCAACTGCCCAATCCCTCAACAGTTTTAAATGTGACAAGAGAAATAAGAGTATATGCGCAGAAACAACTTCCCCAAGTGCCGAGTTAACCCTTTCTCCTTTTTTTTTGTTGCCTACAATTCCCATCGTCTTGAATCCTTCCCAAACAGAGAGAAGATGGAAAATTTGATTGAACCGATTCAATGCTCGGGTTCATCCGTCATTCTATGAACTAAGTTAACTAAATTAACTAAACTATACAGTCATCATGCTCAGCTGTTTTGATTCTTTATAGGATATATAATTCGTATTTCGAGTATTATTGCTCATTCGAAAATTGCATCATCTCCCAGTCCTGAGCCCACTTTTATCACATTCGACTGTATGTTTTAAAAAATATTAATAACACTAAAAAAAAAATATTTAAAACAGATTTTCTCCGAGGGTTTCGAGCCGGCAGGAGCTATCCCAAGATTTTCTCAATATACATAAAATGAAATGTAAGGGGCACAGTCGTGTCGAAATGTGGAAATTTCCAATCGGCCTGTAGAAGATGAGGGATTTCCTCCCAAAGGAACCTTTCTTGCGTTGCGTCTTTTCTATAATTGTAATGCATATGCATACATTTTTCCAAGGTGGCTTCGTGCTTTGAGACCTGTATTTGCCGTGTCTGATACCCCAGCCATATTATTCATGCGTATATGATCTGATACTCCAACCATCATTTATGTGGTTATGCTTGTTGATTACAGCCTTGGATGAAGGTATCAATTTATTCGGCCCAGGATTCGATGAGATTGGTTTGATGGATATCGAAATGAAAGAGATTATAAAGGTGAAATTGAGTGCAAGGATGCTCCGGCCTAGACTTCCTATGAGATGAGATCATTTGCATGCGCCACGCGAACGGCATTTCGAAAAATCGATGCGCGTGGTGAAAGGTTAACCCCGAAGGGGAACAAACGGTTACGAGATACGCTATGCCCAAGGGAGTGAAATGATGTGCAATGGCGGGCTAACGAGGAATGTTCCTCGGATTGAAAAGAAAAAGAAAAAAAAAACCTATTAGTGCAAATGTCAGGAATTTCAAGAGGAGCACAGGTAATAGGGGCAAATGAGACAAGTGGATTTCATCCAGACAAGCACTCCATCATCCTCACTTGTGCACCGGGCACCGAGCCAAAGACAAAATAGAAGTGAAAAGCCTGAGAGGAGGTGATGGAACGAGGGCACTTAGGAGCTCCGGACGGTCGCATCCCCCCCGTCCACTTCACCCTGGATCCTCTGATGGGATGTCCGAAAGCACCTCCATCTCGATCAGAGGGGAGTCGCCGACAGAATCTCGGTCCAAGGACACGCTATCCACAAATTCATGGGGTCCGAGAAGAGGCCGAGACGAGGGGCTTTCCCTCTCGAGCGAAATATACAGGGTGTCCCATAAGTCAAGCATCATAGGGAAATTCACATTTTATTATGACACTGAAAAACATATGTTCAACATGTTTGCCATTATTCTTAATGCGTTTTCTCAAGCAATGTTACCATTCTGCTTGAACATTCCTCAACTTTGCGTTATTGGCTGCCAATACAGATAGTCATTATTGAATCGCTCAGCAACCTCTCACTGACTGTGTCCCACACATTTGTCCATGCTTATTGACATCTTCCATTATCAGTTTCAATACTCAAATCCTGGAGGGGGGGAAAAAAACAAACAAAGCAAAAAACTGAAATAACAGAAATCAAAACTTGAATTTTCCCATGATGCTTGACTAATGGGACACCCTGTAGATCGTCGTTGCTTTCTTCTTTCGCTCCTGATTTTCCTTCACTTAAAGGTCATCGGTCATCGACACGCGACTGTAAAGGTCATCCTGTTAAGGCGACTGCTCATTTCTATCTCGCGAAGCTGAACGTTTCTAAGTGGTGTCTAGGTTATGTGTATCCATCGCATCTTTTGAAATGATGAAACGGCAAAGAAAACGGAAACCAACGGTTATCGTTAGTATGAGACGGGAAGTCGCTGGTCGCTGGCAGATGGAGGAGAATTTCCGTTGCGGTAAAGATGGTTTTCCGCCGGGGAACCAGTCTGGTTGAATCACTGGAGTCTTTCTGGATCTGCATGAAACTGATATGAAAAAGGAAAAAAGATGGAACTCCCCCCCCCCCCCCCCTCTCTCCCCCTCTCCCCCCTAACATCCAAGCGGATGAAGCAAGAAGTCGTGCGGAGGAAATTCGCCTTTCACCGTCTTTTTCACCTCCACATTACTTCATTTTCCTCAGTTCCTATCGGTGAACCAGCAAAATCATGGTTTCGGAATCGACAGTGGAAGCCTTCCGCTCTCGAAACCTCGACCGACACCTGAAGTCACTCTGTCCAAGATTTCGAGCAAGATCCGTGAATTCTACCGCTGTCATTTCTCAGCCGGTTTGCCCCGAGAACTTCCGCACGGATCCGAGTAAGTATCCCTTTCCATACATGACGCTTCCCGTTGAAATTTTTTTCTATCCTATCCATATCCCACTGCATTTCCAAATTCTAATCCAATTCGGCTCAGAGAACTCCGCTGTGAACAGGCAAATCAAGTTTCACCAAAGACCTTGTGTTCGTCTGTCAGGCAGATCAGATTTCACGAATCGGATTTCCGTAACTCACCATCTCTTGGAGAGAGACGGGGCAGGTCGATACTTTTTTTTTTTTATTTCGAGGCCGAATATCCATGAAGGCTGCTGTCGTTGGCGTTGTCCAAAATAAGAACCTTTCAAGGTTGACTTTGGGCCTTTGCTCGTGGTTCAAGGGAACGCGGTGTCCTTCGGGAAGGACAAACGCCTCGAACCAATTTTTTTCGATTCCAATCACAGTCAGTTCTTTTTTTTTTGCCTGACTTTAAATGTGAAGTTCATGCTTCTCTTTTGGTAATAGGTTGTTAGAGCTTCAAGTACCGGGTGTTGCACATATATACCCCCCCCCCCTCCCTCCACAGCCTAAACTATTGGAGCTAGAAAAATAAATATATTCGGAATTCTTGTTCAATTTTGATTCTTTTTAATCCCATTTTGTTGTTTCTGATGTCATACGATGGTGAAGAACTTAAATTCATTGACCGCATTCGTGCTATTACGTTCCGAGAAGCTCGTGATGCCGGAGCCGAATTCGTTACCCGTTCATGGGTTTCGAAAAAGATTAAACGTTGAGCTTCTGCATGATAAAGCCCTATTTTTCAAAGCTTTGACCACACAGCAAATGCTGAAGGACTCGGGGATCGATATCTTTGGAAATGCAGAACGGCCTGGAAACTCTCCCGATCTGGATGTGGCTGAGAACAATGGGATTATCCTGGAAGATCAGAGTTGAGACTCTCATGCATATGGAGGGCAAGCAGCTTGGATTCTCCAGAGAAGCCTTGCAAAAGCAACATCACCAGTGTTGAAGGATATGGAAGACGCGGGACTCTTTAAGCGTCTCTTTTCATCATACCCCGCTCGTCTTAAAGCTGTCAGAGATGCAGCTAGGGTGCACACAAATTACTAGAAATACGTGTTTAGATTCGAAAAATGAATGCTCCTTCTCATGATATATGAGGTTTTTCCTCCTAGCTCAGATAGTTTATGTCTATGTGCAACACCCAGTACATCCTCGCGATCGAATTAGAACGAAAGAAATGGATAGTCGTGGGACAGACATAAAAAGAAATTCATATAAAATGGAGAGCTGCAACGAAAAAAACTCGACAATAAGGAAAATAAGCCCAACATTCCTTTCGCAAATCAGTTTTTTCTCCCCTAATTACTAGGTAGCATGTGAATTTTAATTATATGATTCCTACATAGAAACTATCACAGCATGATCCTCATCATATGAAGGAATTAATTATTCGTCTTAATTTGATTACATGGAAGTGGCTATGTGAAGAAATACGTAGAGCGAGCATGAAAGAGAAACCCACAGCACTCTTTTAAATAAATAAAAATCCTTTCAATTTTTTACATTTTAATTTTACAGCGCCTAGAGAGCGTTTTGTTTCCGTTCTGTCAAGTCGCAAGGGGTAGTCCAAGAAGCTAAGGGAATTGTCCACGCATCACGATCGTCGAGTTCACAACGATCGTTAGGAACTTAAGGGTATACTTTTTTCCTCCACCTTCCCGACCCATGCTCACAGGAGTGGCCTGATGGCACTTCCCTTTTCAGTGGACAATTTTCTGCATCCGCTCTGAAGGGGACTGTCCCACCGAGGACAAATTAGCCATCCCGTTAGAATTACGATATGAAGCACTTCCGGGATGAGTTTCGAAAGCAATGTTCGTGCAGAGATTGTCGGGCACACGATGAAGTTGAAAATGCTAGTCGATGGTACGGACAAGGGATTTATTTTCGTCCATGAAAAGGATGAGACAGAGTTCAAAGACCCCTAATGGTCTTGGTAATTGGCAGGAACAAAACACGGTCGCAGGCCTGGAACGACAGGTTTGCCAATGCGAGAAAGTGCAACGGAAGCCCTGAGAGTATAGCGGAACACACGTGTTTCTCAACTACTCGCCAGGTGGTTATAAAATATAATCAGTTGACTATCTCCAGGCGTAATCTGGCCAATCTCATAGTGGACTATTTTGAGCCCTCAACTAATACAAAACGTAAAAAGGAATCCAAGTGCTACGTGAACACGTGTTGATGCACGATGCGTGTGATTTCATTTCATGTTAAACAAATCTTAGCCAAGTTTAAAAAAGAGCACTTTTATTGGAAAAACAATCACTGAATTGAACAGCAGAAATGGCAATAGGCGAATGGAGACAGAGATAGAGAATGTCAATATTATTTTGGTGTGATCACATTCTGACTAGAGGAAAAATGAGGTGGCAGATCACGAAGGTGGGGTCATCTTGGGCCATGCAATCTTCGCTTCGATCCGCTTGAAGACAAACGAGCACTTCCTCCCTGATGCTATCACTTCTGCTTTAATGGCTTGAGGACAGTCTGAGTCGTTCAGCATCACCTCTGCTCCATAAAAAAAGGGGGAAAGCAGTGATTATACCTTATAACCTTAGTGCCAGAGAGGCAATTAATCTTCATTTCAAAACTCTCTCAGAAACTGTAAAACTCGATACACCAGAGTAGTCTCTACTGTCCAAGATAAATAGATTTTCAACCACTGACGCTTAAGTTGTTTTTTTTTTCTTTGACTCAGATGCAAGAGACCAGTGCATCACATAATTGTAAGGGATGTTCATTTGCTTCCACTGTTTCGCAGTGGGAGTTTGAACTGTAGGGCTACTCTTATGACCCCATCAGGTCCTATATTGCAGGGACTCCCTTATTAGAAAGTAAAGAGACACACATACGGCCCCAATCTGCTTCCATTTTTGTTTTCCTACAACAAATAGTAAAAAATTTTATTCCAGACAAAACTTGGTAAGGAAACATAATGGCAATACAGAAGCCAAGAAAGTCTAGCCGAATGAGCTGAAGCTAGTGGCAAAACTGACTTCCATGAAAATCGTTTTGCATGTCTATGGCATTCGGTGGTGCCGAGAGCATTGCAGTTGGACAACCATCGCCTACTTGGTTCCTTTTGTTTCCACCAACCTCCACTCTGGCATCACTTTTGACTTTTTTTATCAACTCATGATCACACAAATGCCACAATATATACAAAACCTGATTGAGCAACAGATTAAAATAGGAATATGTGATTTAATGAAAGGAGGATGGAAGGGCTTAAATAGAGGTAGCAATATTCCCCAATCCCAACCCATACTCAAGTTTCCCTTTCAGCCTACACTCAAATATGATACAGAAGAGCAACTAATTTGCATATTCAAAGGAAATTCACAATTGAAAGGAAAATTTTCTTTTAGGATTTTAGGTTTTTAGCTTTAAAAACTTTAAAAGCCATATTTAAAGGAGTTTTCTAAACTTGATGGAAGATTTTCACCAAAATGATTAAAAGAGATGAAAACATGCAAAATCTTGATATGAGGGAAGACCTGAAACGAAACGCTATCTCTAAAGGCAAACATCAGTACATTCATAGAAAATTGTAAGTATGCAATGAGTGACAATACATATTTTTTACTTACCCAGAGTGGGTTGTGAAAAATAAATCAGAATATACAAATACTTTTTGCCTGCCAAGGTACTTTGAGCAGTCAGTACAAATCTTTTACTTTGCTGCTTTGAGGGAAGAGTTTTAAACTTATGCTATCTAGGTTAATAACAGCCTGGACATTATGCTTTCTACTCAATATTTTTTTTGCTTTTCTTTTTAGGACGGGTGTTGCAGAGATATGAAACTCTTCCCTGTCTTCATGCATAATTCAGCTTAATAAACAATGAAACACCTTTGGTCTAACATTGTATTATTGACCTCAATATAGCTGCTCTCGATATGCTATGTCTCACAAGGAGGAGGATGCCCTGACCTTTGTTCCATCATTTGTCAAAAAAGGAAAAAAAAAAACTTTGGAGATTATCACTCTTCTATTAATTCTATTACTGAAGATGGTGTCCCCTCCTTTCTTCTCAAAGGGATAAAATCCTATTTTTAAAGAGAGCAGGTCAACTGATTGTTCTTGAACCAAGGTGGATTCCTTCATACAATGTACTCGAGTGTTTGACATTTGGCAATTAAGTCTCTAAGGCCCATTCTCAGAGAAAAAAGGGAAAAAAATTGTAGAAAAACAAAACTTCCAAGAAAATAGTGAATATCAAAATTCAATGTGAATTTTAAACATTTCTACCTTCATCATCTGTCAGCTTGTAGAGAGCAAAGTCCTGAGGATTGGTGATATGGAGCTTGTGAGCGACCATCTTGCTGACATCTCGGGTAGTCATGCCAGGCCGAGCTGGGAGGGTGCGAGACAGGATGCTCCCTTGGTCCTCATCCGGAATGAGGATTCGAAGGAAACCCTGACCATCAGAGAAGCTGCTGCCCTGAGAACCAGGGCTCTTCCCTCTCGTTTCCTGACTCTGTTGTTCACAAAAATTCCACCATGAAAGGACTTTGAAAATAATAAAACACCATGAAGGAAGAAAAAATCTTACAGGTGAAGATAAGGAGGAGATGGAATTGAGAGAGGAAGCAGAGGGAGTTGCTAAATTCTTGAGGACATAGACTGCACCAGACCATAGTGCCAAATAATAACCACCCTCCCCAGCATGAAGGCTAGGGTGAATGAGGGCCCACATGTATTCAATTTCAACTTCCAAGCCCAGGATTCCACATTCCACAATGGTGTACATGAGAAGTGGAAGGAAGTCATCTGCATTCATAGAAAGACCGCCACTGCGTCGCCCAGCTTCGCCTTTTGCCTAAGAAAATCCCAACATTGTATCACCCTTGCAAGTTTCTTGTTTGCATATTGATTCTCACAATTGAGAAACATACTGCCATGAAGAGTGCAGTTGTTGCTGACAAGAGATTCTCCAGCTTCAGAAGAGGAGATGAGACCTGCTCCATGCGAAGCAGGAAATGCCTCACCACACTCACAGACATGGGATTAGGTACCCTTGTCACCTATTCAGAAATCAATAAGGTAAGTCAAGGTTATAAAGAGGAAGGGGAACAAAGAACTAAAAAAAACAGTAGGAATAAAACAAGGCATGAAGGTACCAAAACAACACAAATGGCTTTTTGCCCTAAGAAAACACTGAGCATTCACCTGAATTCCAATTCCAGGGGAAGATCGGGCCTTCCTGACACTTTGGGCCAGCTGATGTAATGCTCCACTTCTATAGAACTCCGACAAGAGGACAGAATAGATATGCTCTCTTAGAGGAGCCAGGACCAATGTGTGCATGCTACTTTCCAGGATGGCATCCAGATTAAGGAATTCAGTTTCTTTCAGCTGCCATCAAAAAACAAAGTTCATCATGAATGAGTCCTACTACAGATAATCAACAGATATCTTGTCTAACCAATGATAGAAAAACCAATTAGTTGTACCTTATTCCTTTCCTTCTCAACTACAGACATGAAGTCTCCTTCTCCATGCTTCACCAGATAGTTTTTGATTCCTGACATAAACTGGCGGACATTCCTCATGATGATGAACGGATCACTTTCTGCCCCCTCCTTGGTGCACTGGATGAAGTGGTCAACACTCTTGGCAAAGGTGTTAGTTCCCTCAGCATGTAGTGCCATCACATAGTCTCTGATCACCTGTCCTGCCTCAGTATGACTATGGTTTCGTTTCAGTGTCTGAAGCCTTGGTGCACCTGCAAATGCAAATATCAGAAATGTTAAATAATTAAATATATTTAACAAAATCTGAAATTATATTATGTCTATTTATGATTATTTTTTCCCAATTTGAATTTCAATTTGGTAAATCAACTGAAAAAATATTGTATAACACATTCCAGAGCAAAAATCTTTCTATATATAAACAGCAGGTCATCTGGTTGAGAAGAATCATTGGTTCTCCATAAGCACTGCTAAAAAAAAAAAAAAAAAAGGATTCTTAGGTACCTTAGTACATGTTGAATACTCACATAACAATTGCTCCCTTCCATGCCTGCTGCTCTGCTTGGGAATGCTGTCCATCAAAGAAGAATTGTCATCAATAAGGGCCCTCCCAGTCACCTCTACAATGCTCCGAGATGTAAAACCAGATGCATTCTTGCTTTTGTTCTTGTTTGCATCCTTCTTCCAGAACTTGGGGTTCATCTTCTCATAACCAGGTAGCTGCTCAATGATGTCAGGATTGTGAGATTCAAGGGACTGTGGAGGTAGGGCATTGTTATTTTGCTCCCCCTTGCCCTGAAAGAAGTGAAGGAATGGCTCCCACTTTGAACTGTCCCATGGCTCTGAGAACTCAGTTGCTGTTCCATCATCACTCAGACTTGATGGATTGTAGTAGGGATTTTCCTTATTGTTGAAGCAAAGGTCCTTCCCACCAACATTGTCATAATCAGACACATGACAGGAGCTGCTGGATTTCACCTGCACATCTTCTAGCTTCAGGTCTGGATATCGTTCCAAGATGAGGTCATCAACAGTAGGTTTTACATTCTGTGCACCTGCAGTTGAAGTGTCCAAACTACGGCACTGAGCATAAAGAGCAAATCCCTTGGCATCTTCATCATCCTCACTCTCTGATCCTTGGTATCCCTTGTTATGATTTGCATGCAAAAATTCCCAGCTGGAATCAGACTGCCATGAAGTCTCATTGAAGCCATTCTTCCAGATTCCAATTTGAGGGACTCCAACTGGCTTCCCTCGGGGCCTTTGACCCGATTTCTGGCTCCCGAGCCTGGACCTGTGGAATGGGGTATCCTGGAATGCCTGTTTCCAATGCACCTTTGGCTTATTGAAGTCCAGAAGGTTGTCCATGCTGGCTGAAAGATTCTGGAGTTCCTCCTGACTGGAAGCCATGATTGGTTCGAGTCCCCCACGATCCAAATCCAGAAGAAGTTGGGGTAATCGAATGTTGGGATCTGAATGCCGGTGCAGTCTTGGCCTCGGTCCTCCTTTTCTCACTCGTTTCACCACCAGCATGAACTTCTCCCTTTCGTTCACTGCATCTACTGGCTCAGCATACAAGGGACTGGGGGTGGGGACCAGAGGTCTTTTAATGATCTCTGTCTCCTTTTTCTCTTCAGTCTCCTCCTTCGTTTCACCAAGTCGATACGAATCTGTCAGGCTGCTCTCAGACTTGGACAAGGCACGCGTTCGCTCCTCGACCTGATTCGTCGACGGCAAAGGCATCTGTGGCACTCTTGGAGAGCGGAAGGTGGACAATTCCGGACGTGCTGGTGATGGTATTGGAGGTGGGGGTGCTGCAGGAGCATCATTGCTCCATAAATCCTCATAATCGCTGATCCTGTCGGCAAGGGAACTCCTGTAATATGTCACAGGAGACTCCACTATGTCCGAGATATCAGACTCACTATAGTGAGTGGATTTCTTCTTCTTTCGCCGCTTACTGCTGCCTAATTTTCGTACTTCTTCCTTGGTTCCACTGGTTTGATTCCCATTCACTTCCACCTGGGGACTCAACAGTGCTGAAACATGATTTGAGTCATTAAACACACACTTGAAACTGGAGAGCATGTGTTCCGTTTGGACACTGGTGAGTTGAGAGATGATTCCATGTTGACGCGAGGCATCCAAGCTGAACTCCTCTGGGCGCAATTCCACCTTAGCTTCAGTGTTGTTGAACATCGGGATGTTGTATGTATTGTTGGAAGCAGTACACCATCTTGGAGGTGGTGGAGGGGGCACCTTTCCAGATCCTGGCGTCATGGGGCTACCAACCTTGCCCTTGAAGGTCGACATGGCAGGCGGGCTATCACCTTCTTCACTCAAAGGCTGAAGGTTGAGGACCAGAGGACTCAAAGGAGGACCCGATGAAAAAGTCTTGGTCAGCGCCAGATGAGTGGGCTTCTGGACTTTGATGATGTCCTGGCTCCCCCCAAAGCTGCTCAGACTGGACTGGCTTGTCGTGAGGTGTCCCTGATCCTCCGACGGATACTGGCCCTTCGAATAGCTGCTGAGACTGGAATGGCTGCTGCTGAGCGCACGTTGTCCCCGTCGCGTGAAGGTCGACAGACTGGGCTGGCTCTGGCTGTTGCTCATCTGAGCCTGCATGCTCACTTGGTTCAGGCTCTCGAGGCTGTAACTCGGCAGCGAGACTGGGGTCGACGGTGCAGATGCCAGCCGAGATCCCCAGAACTCTACAAGGAAAACAGAAAAGGTATAACATATTTCCCCTTCGAAGCAGACTCCCTTCCATTCATCAATCGTGTGACATTCAAGCTACGTAGCAACTTCCTGAAAGTTTAATGCCCTATTGATTTTTCCTGTGGCTCACTCGCTTTTCCCCTTTCAGCTCCCTCGTGAAAACTGCAGAAGTCTCTCCAAGCTAAACCTCGTCATGAAATATTGAGTCATCTCAGGATATAAAAGCAACTTTCACGCTGGACACCTACCTCATCATTGGAAAATAATTACCATCTCCATTAAGGGTTCGCCCTGACATTAATCAAAAGGATCATTAACGAAGACTGAGGTTGCAAATTCAGGCAAGGACTCATCCATCCGGTCACCGTCACCAGCACATGCAAGCGCATCGATTCCAGAGCAAAGAATGCAGGACTACCTTGTCCGAGAAGGGCAAGAGATGCGAGTTCTTGTCTGGAGGTGGCCGTCATGAGAACATGCGGGAGACACAATGCCACGGGGAGCTCATCGCTGAAACACGAGAACGAATCATCAGCTCAGCTGGCTCGGTTTATACCCCACGAGCGATAGGCATCACATGAATGCAGTGTATATACGGGCAGGGGGCTGACCAGCACTGGCTGTAGTGTGCGATGAGGCTGGGAATATTGGGGAACAGATTGGTCGACGTCTCCAGGCTCAGCTTCCCTTCCTGACATTCGATGAGATAATGCTCGATGTACGGACCTTTCTCCACCGGCAGCCTCACAGAGATCGCCATCGTGCTCGGTTTGCTCGACTCCCGCACGATAAACGTCTGCGTCCAAACATGAATTCCACATTACCGGCACTTGAATTCATGAACGAGTAACGATCGACGTAGGGCTCAAAGAATCCGATTTGCATGAAATGACATAAAAGATTGATCTTCAAGTGAACAACATTTCCGTTCCACATTTTCCCCCAACCCCAATTGAGCTCATCCCTCACCCCTTCTTCCTTGCCCTGAAGCAGATGGACAGCCCCGGAGCGCTGGATGCCAGGCAGATACCAGATGGGATGGGTCCTTATGAGCCTTTCCAGGATCCCAATGTCACACGGAGGCTCCCCTCCCCTCTCATCTGCGCTGCTTTCATCGTCTCCGCTGCATCCCGACGAACTCCCATCTTCGCCTCCTCCATTCATTTCCTCCTAACAATGAAAGGGAACCCAACCGTACAGAAGGTGCAATTAAATTTATATTGGGGCTATATCCAGTCAGGGTTTATGACAGCCCGGGGGTATGGGTTATCGCGAACTAGGTTTATCAGACCTTGGGAAGATATTTCCATATATGGTGGGTTTGGATAAAAATTGAAAAAGCTCTCGCGTATCGCAATCATAATAAGTCACCCGATCGTATGATACGCCGCTTGTGCAAACCATAACGTTTTCCCATTCACAGATAACTTTTACAAGCCTGGCTTACATTAGACCGGTCTATCATAAACCTTCAACGGAAGAAAAAAAAATATTATCGACCAAACCGTACATCCATGAATAATGATGAATACCTACTTTGGCAAGATCAGGGGTGCCCATATGCAGATAGGATAACAAGTACGCCCCCATGCATTTATACCGTGATTCCTTCACAGAGAACATCGCGTCTTATACCCAAGCCCTCAGCGGGTTCTGCATTCCACCGTATCTTATCTTGTTTACGGAAACAGAAACTTGACTTTTAAGGGAGCTATTTTGGAGGCTGAAGCAAATCTAGCCATCCAATCCCTTCGAATTGAAGATATCGACATTGGAATAAATTCACAACGAAGCAAGCCCATGGGTAACACCGAGTCACGAGGAGCTGAAGGGTAGTCATCGAAGGCCACCCCAAAAATACACCCGACAACATGAATATCACAATCGACCACCGGCATAGAGAATTCAAGGTCCCTGATATTGGCACATCGGACAAAGTTCATTACAACGTTACGTCGAAATTCCTCAATCAGGGGGGGGGGGGGGAGGAATTCCTCTTAGTGTCGCAACGGGCCAAAAGATCGTGGGCTGATGAAAAGTAAAGGGTGTGAACTTTCGTAAGAGGAAGGACGAGGAGGCAAGGAAATGGTGTGAAATGACGACCTTGATACCTTCTGCCTCGGGGAACCCCAAAAGGTGTCCTCGAGGAAGGCCCCGCAATCACGTCTCACGCACGCATTCCTTCCTTCCTTCCCTCATTTTCATCCCACACAGACAGACAGACAGACAGGCAGACACGCAGACAAACACACACACATCCACTGTTACTCGTTTATATAATTTGCGCAGGGCACATAGATACCCTCGCCAACGAGCAGCTGCTCGCGATAGCAATAACAAGGCTCGGAAACGAGGCCACAATCATCGCCAGAATTTTCCCATCCCTTCGCTAATGACGTACGATAAAAGGAGAAAGAGAGGGCCGGATAATGGAGCCTCAGATAAGATATTTCCTAGCATAGGTCATGGAGCAACGAATGGAATATGATTATGGCCTTTGCACCGAGCATTTGCAGTACCGTGTCCACACTGGCATCCTCCCCATTGTTGGGAAGACCTCGCGAAGGCCGGGTGACAGGACAAGGCCTCGAGGAGAGATTGCGCCAATCCGGAGATGAGGTCTATAGAACGGCCCATTATTTCACTTTCGCACTGCGGTGGCAATGGATTTTTTTTTTTTGTTGCTCGAATCGAATATCGAGTTCATTCATCTGTCCGTGAATGAGGTTTTGGAATGCGGAGCGTCTCCTTTGTTCTCGAGTACCGTTTTCATAATTAATGCCACGAAAAGCCCCCAGGGCGCTTTGCAGATTCGGCTCATTACATGACCCATACAGTCACGATCGGAATATTGAGCAACTTCGTCGTCGAGGACGAGCAGACGGTGCGTCGACTCGTGCCTCTCGGTTTGTTTATTTCGATTGATTCATCTTAGGTGTTGTGCAGACGGTTGGATTAGTGGATGCACGCTCCCCGTGTTTACACACGAGGCAGAGATGTCGTAATCGATGTTTGGAGCTGCACGAGAGGGCAAGGTCTGCGAGAGATAAAAAGAGGAGCCGAGATACCGACTGGCGAATGGAGTGAAAAATAAACGAGGATTTTCGAGCCAGGCCTCGACCTGGTTCGATTTCCTCTCCCGTGACGAGAAAAAAAAAAATCCATTGCCACCGCAGTGCGAAAGTGAAATAATGGGCCGTTCTATAGACCTCATCTCCGGATTGGCGCAATCTCTCCTCGAGGCCTNTTATTATGATTGCGATACGCGAGAGCTTTTTCAATTTTTATCCAAACCCACCATATATGGAAATATCTTCCCAAGGTCTGATAAACCTAGTTCGCGATAACCCATACCCCCGGGCTGTCATAAACCCTGACTGGATATAGCCCCAATATAAATTTAATTGCACCTTCTGTACGGTTGGGTTCCCTTTCATTGTTAGGAGGAAATGAATGGAGGAGGCGAAGATGGGAGTTCGTCGGGATGCAGCGGAGACGATGAAAGCAGCGCAGATGAGAGGGGAGGGGAGCCTCCGTGTGACATTGGGATCCTGGAAAGGCTCATAAGGACCCATCCCATCTGGTATCTGCCTGGCATCCAGCGCTCCGGGGCTGTCCATCTGCTTCAGGGCAAGGAAGAAGGGGTGAGGGATGAGCTCAATTGGGGGGGGGAAGAGACAGGATCCACTCGAATCGACGATTTCCTTCTGTCACGTTGTTCTTTCTTCCCCTTAGTCTAACAGTGACGGTAATCGAGTCATGAAAGTGTGTCCTGTCTCTGCCTCGTTCAGCTCTGATTGACAAGTGTGTAATCCCTCCCGTTAATGGTTTCTCTCTTTTTTTTCTGTATCTTCTTTTATATTTTCATTTTTTGGAGAAAGGGAGCCAGCCGAGAGAGCGTCCTTGATGATCATTAAGCCCTGAAACATTTCTCGACGAAGAAGCCAAGACGGCCACAAAACGGAGAAAGGGAAAAGACCCCGAGAGAGAGAAAGAGGGGGCCCCCTCGCCGCCATTAATTCATTCACACACTCGAAAAGAAGCGGACTTTTTTTCCCCTACCTTCCGGCAAGGCAGACTTCCGGCAGGGCCCGAGGGCACGGAATTCTGCAAGTCTAGTCCTTCGCCCACCGATTCCATCACCTCCATCCTGCAACAGACAGCACAAGGACGCACCGTCGATATCATCGGCCCACGATCCACATCTTAAATCACTTTCGGCGACGCGTCGAAACCGACGTCGACGCGAGCCGACGGACGAGTCGGCCTCGATGTCACGCTCGCATGACACAGATCGCGCACGCACAAGGGGTCCGTATTAAATGGAACGGGGGTCGGTGATGTGCCGGAAACGCACTCCCTTATCTACTTGCACGTCTCGTGCTTCCTCGCACCACTGCTCCTGTTGCGAGCTCCATGCCCGAGATGTTAAAGTTCCGGAGGGGAGGAGGGGGAGCAGAATCCGGCAGGGGGGCTTCCTCTACGGTGCAGTGGACGAAACACTCGAGGAGATGGCGGGGTGCTACGGTACAGCTGCGATGGGAAAGTCGAAGTACGGCCTGGAAAAGGCGGCGGATGCCATCGTCTCTTGCCCTACCACCCCAGCGTTGGGAAAGTAGAAGCGGGGGGAGGGGGGGGGGGAGGGGGCACGGCTGGTGAATGCTCGAGCACGCCATGCTCCTCGACTCTCCACCCAGTGAATAGAAAAGGATCGGTTGACGGCACGGACGACGGCGGCAAGACACGCCCCGTCATCGGTGCTACGCATCTGCCGTGTCCCTCCACAAACCCATGACGACTCGCGATCCTTCACGAGTCAGACGAACGTTTAAAAACCGAGGGCTTCGAATCTCGCATCGAAGTTCACCCGAACGAATCCTCGCCCGCGTGTCGCTCGACGCAGACCGGCGAGACGCTAACGGCGAGACGCTAACGGCGAGACGCTAACGGCGAACGACCGGAAGATGGCCGCCACTATCTACGTAGCAATCAGAGTGAAACGATTTTTCTCTTTCCATCCTTGGACCATCCCGTTCCACGCCTCCCACACGAACGACCGACATCGGAGAGACGAAATTAGACTGCAGAAATATTGCGAATTCGCATCCACGAAAACCATCTCCACCCATTTCGGGAATCGATGTCAATGACATGACGTCAGGGGTGAAAAATCTGGGGCCATCACGCAAGATCGCATGCATGTCCCCCCAAGAACCCGCCCCCACGAATACGCGAGGGAGGAAAGGCAATTGATGCGATAGATCGAAGGGAAGGGACCGAGAAAAAGAGGAAAAAAAAAACCTTATTGTGCAACGCACAGAGAAGCCATATCCGGGATGCGAAACGCGGTGCTGGTCTTTCATGCAGAGCAGCAAAAAAAAAAAAAAGGAAGGAAAGCGCATCGACGCATGCCGAAATGACCAAAAGAAAGGGAGCACGTGTGAGTGTGAAAGTGGGATCCCGACCGGCACGCCTAAATGCCATCACGAAGCGTTTCGGCACGAACCGAAGCGACGAAACACGAGGGAGACCAAAGAAAAAAAAAAAAATCTCCACGAGAGGGTCTTGCCATCCCCTCGTTCGAGTGATTACGGTATACAACAGGCATGAGACTGCGCTATACGCGGCGCTGAATCATCGTCACCGCCGAGCAGCCCTGCAAAACACACTTGACACGAGGCCAAAACGACAACGAGTCGACTCCTCGCCCATTAACAAGTACTCGAGGCCTTCCCCGTCGATGAATCCCTCGTCGCACGGCGAAAAACGAATGACTCGTAACGCCCACGGACGTCGCACGTATTTAGTAGCAAACAGTGCTCGAACTGGTTTTTATTTTTCCCCTCGAGGCCGTCGAGAAGAAAGGGAGGAAAACTGTAATCGATCTTTGTCCTCCACACACTTCCGTTTTCATTTTTTTTTTTAGACGCCGTGCTGAGATTTGGAGCAGGTTATAGCCCAGATTGCGACCTTTTCCCGGCCGTTGAACTCTCATCGATTCGAATCCATTATTGCAATCCCTCTCCCAGATTAATCCGATCCGGGCATTTCCTCGCCGATGACCCCGGGGGTAAATGGCCCCTCGTCCCCGCATCGAGACAAAATTGGGTCGACAGATAACAAAAAACTGATCCGTCTGCCAGAGACAGACGCGCCAGACCTTGAGTAGAGAAAAAGAGACAAAAAAAAGGGAGACGGGAAAAAAATGGAGAAAAATGACAGAGACAAGCACGAGCGACGAAAGAAAGATGACCGAAAAAGAAATTCCCGGGAGATTTGCATCCGCGAAGAAAAACCGTTGATGATACCGGAAGGAATGGCAACCGAGCATGATGAACGGCCGAGACGAGATTCTCATATCGTAACGGTTCGTCGCTTATCCGTCGAGTCGTATGGCCTCGGTCCGACCTTGCACGGAGGGGAAAAAGCGAATCTTCGGACGCGCGAATGGCGTGATTCCAAAAATTCTCTGTCCTCGGTCGGGCACCGAGGAGGGATCTCCTGGCATTTTCGGAC